GATGTGAGTTACCTTTGATACTTCTCGCTTATAATGATTTCATTCTAGCAGTTGGAAATTCATTCATTTCTACTTGTTCTCATGTTACTTCTGTAATTTTCAAATAGCAATTGTATTTCAGCATGAGTAATCTAACTTTCATTGAACCCTGTTTGTAAGTGCTTAATTCTACACGAATCCTTGAGTCATACATTTTCTTAGGATATATCCGTGACCTGTACTAGCTAATATAGAATTGAGCGTGAGAATATTTTCTAGTGGATAGCTTTTGGTCCTTTTATCTTTATATATATGTGTGAGAAATCCTTGTTTGATCTCAATGACAACTTCAATTTTCTTTAGACCTTGCAATCCAATCCGTATAGTACAGGCATTAAGCATTTAAGCAAGCTGAAGCCAATAGTTGATTGGATTGTTTAATAAATGTTTGCATAGTATATTGTACTATTGCAAGATTGGTCGTTTCTAGCCTGTGCGAAACAATGAGAGCAATTGTGAGTCTAGGCTCACTAGCAAGCTTCCTTATGATTACTTGATCCCTCAAGCATCATTTGTCCTTTGATGTGGTTTTTGCTTAACAAATCTGGTACCTTTTTGCTTCCTAATGTCTGTTGAACAATCCATGAAATGTTTTGTTGAAATTTCCGAAACATTTGATTTTGTTCAAATTTCAAACAAGCTACTATAAGGAGAAAGTCATTGAAAGGATATGGTGGTGACGATTAAGGTTTGTCCGTGAAGACAATATGAGAGTTAAACGGGAATGTACACAGGCTTTTGATTGCCAACATTCTTTTCTCTCATTGTCGTTGACTCGCTTGTAGAGTTAACGATAAGAACTTCACTGTGCACTGTAGTATGTAGTGTGTCAAGGAAGGGCGAGATATAGTCCAACTAGACAACCTGTCTCCTTTACTACCTCTTATATATGGGATAATTTTATGAATTGCATTCTTGAGTGCTGTGTTTTTCATGTGAAAATGATTTGATTGACTAGTTGCTCGAACTTCATCGCATTGTAAATGTGCAAGTGCAAAGATTGCTTGGATATCTGAAATCGTAAGATTCTAATTATATTTTATTCTCCAATTTACGGCATTTTGACCGGGTGTTACTTTATAAATTCGTAGGTGTCATGGAACAAGTTCGGAGGTCCCCGCAAGAGTTCGAGGAGAAGGCTACCGAACTTAAGAAGGTCCACAACAATGAGTATTTGAAGATCAAGCTTGACCGTACCAAAGTCGACATCAAGAAGATGAAATCGCAACATCAAACCGACACGGACATATCATTTGATCGTGACCAACTGGACAAAGCGGAAAAAGAAGAGCTTGCTGCCTTTGCCAAAAGAATTGAAAAAGAACAGTTGCCCAAATTGAAGAAAGCGCTAAATGATCGTGCGTGCTCTCTTTGCCCATATGATATCAAAAGAACGTGCTATTGCGGATGAAGTCTTACAAAAGACCCGTCAAGAATATGATGAGAACATGAAGACACAACAACAAATAATTGATTCCTTGAGTAATCGTGCAAGGTCACAATTGGAAGGGTTGCGTAATGACCGCTCAAAGTTGAAGGGTCCGACCGACAACTTGAATGTCGAGGTAACCACGGTACTCTTTTAATTTAAAATTTTTACTATATAGACAAAGATCTTAAACCCTCTATTGTTAGGACTTTAAGGTACCAGATGATATGATTTGTATGCCACGTTGGTACTTCCGACATGGCAAAGGACAACTCTCATGCACCGTATATATATAATTTTCAGACATTTTTTGTGTAAGAACTCGTTGTGCTCAAATAATTCTTATTCGTAAATCCCTACATGCATGATTATTTGGCTATGAGATTTAAGGTTTTCAAATTGGAGGAGCTTTATTCGATCTAGAGAAGTACGACATTCGAAAGCGATTTGAGAGGCTTTGCAATTAAAGGTAGATCTGTTAAGTTCCACAAATTCATGAGGGCTTTGACCTATAATGGGCACATATTTGACTCGGAGGTATACTACCTCAATCCTCGCTCCTTGGAGTAAGCCATTAACCGACCTTGTAAAGATAGTCGGAGAAGATGACGTGAACCAAATGGTGCGTGCTCATCTTTGAATGGGGACTAAGATTTGTCTTTTGTACCTAGTGAGCGAGATATGAAGACCAAGACCCGGATGTGAGTATTGGTTCCTCTTGACAAATATTGCTCCTTAGAGTAAGCCATCAACCGACCTTGTAAAATAATGATGCTCTAACATCTAATGGACTATAATGCGGGATGTGCCAATGGAATCATCCGATGAGTCCGATGATGAAGTCGACGGAACGTCCAATACTGAACGTGGTAATCTTGAATAGTACTGAGGGCATAAGGTGATATTCGATCTATTTTCAAAGATATACTAGTTAAAACTTTAGAATCGGTCATGTCCATATAGCGGTATGCAAACAAAGAACCTTCCATGCAAGTTTTGACATAGCTATGTCCTATGTGTTGCCGCTCTGGTGTCGACACATTTAAGAAAGCGATCTCTTAGCATAATCGCAAGACATTTAGTTACTTGTCATGTCGGATACTTGTCATTTATGTAAAGATTGCTTGAAACCAATGAATTAAGAATCCATTGATGATTCATCTTTAAGTTGCACTCAATGTGTGACAAGAAGCTGAAATTTTAATTTATGCGAGATAATGCGAGATGATGGACAGCTACACGAGCTAGAGACAACCCTTGAGGCGACACAAGGCACTATACCACGTACCCCATCTTTAGCGTCGCATGGGAGTCGTTAAAAGTAGCCATCTATTTGACTAGTGGATTTTAGTTTAAAGCGAAGTACTAGATAAAAAAGGAGCATTTGAGTTTGTACTATCTAGTCTCGATTACATATGTCTATTACAAATAAAATCGTAGTAGTTGTCCATTGTGGCCATGCAGATCTGGTTTGTACTATCTATTCTATATGTATAGTACATCCATCTATTACAGATTGTGTTCGTTTATTCAAAGATTGCATAAAGAGATGAAAGACTCCTTTCTCTATGCACTTTTCATTTTTTTTATACAAATGTTTACTATTCATAGGGGATGGATGGAGTGAGGACTTTGCTTGGTGTGCTCACTATTCATGTTGATATTGTCCTTTCACCCCGTAAACCTCTCAGTATGATGGGCCCGAGGAGTTTCAGTTAGTTCAGAGGAGGAGGAGCTCTGTCGATACCCTACTGTGGCTGTGGCGGTGGCGGTTGGAGGTGGCGGCGGCGCTTTGGTTTAGGGTACTACATATTTAACACAAGAAAATGTTTTTGAAGCATAGTTGTGTTCTCGTTAAACTCCAAAGTATTTCGTTTACGGAAGTGGGAGCAAAAAATTTTTCTCGAGATCTCCCCTCATCCAGGTGTACATGAGTTTCTTAGTCCGTTAGTACATGAGTTTCTTAGAGTTATCTGAATTTTGCGGGAAATATTGCGGTTGTCGGGATAGCTCTTGAGCAGGAAGATGTCAAAAGATGCTAACTTGACTAGTTCTATGAGTCAACAGCCTTTTAACTTCTCCGAGATAACTACTCCTAGATGTGGCAAACTACTATTGGCATCTTTTAGACAAGTGACGATAAAAGCGATGCATGGATTAAATTCTGAGCCATCGGTTCGATTGCAAATCGTAGTAGTTGATTTGGTGCCCCGACGACCTTACCTAAATATACTAAGGCCACGGGGTGCTTATGAGCCGCTTTTGGGTCATTATTCTTTTTCCTCCACGGTGGACTCCAACGTGGCCCTTCTCTGGCGCTTTAGGCAAATGCCGCGCCAGACCGACTCTTGCGTGATCCCGTGAGGCGGGCGCTCGATGTTCTTGTATGATCAAGATAGCCTGATTATGCCATCACCAGACCATTATCATGATACCGTGCACATGCAAAATTCTTGAGCGAGCTTTTGTATCATTCTTTGTGTCAATTTGAGAGTTATCTGAAAGAGCACTTATTGCAGCAGATCGTAGCCTAAGGATCGAATTGATTGAAAGGCGAGAGGAAAATTCATCATTGCAAAGAGGAGGATACATAAGAAACGTAAGAGGCGTAAATAAGAGGGAGTTACTTTATTAATCCATCCAAATCTTCCATAGTAAAAGCACATTCTCTCGCATAATCCGTCGGTTATAAAACAATCACTCAACTAACTATACTAAAATTGGAGTTCCAAAGTGTAAAATCTCTGGACTGCCACCTACAGGATATTTTGCACGCCCTAGGCAAAGACAAAGCTTCTCGAATCCCGTGGTCGAACACTTCCTGTAATGAGCTTTCCATGCCATATCATGTGTTGCATAAATGATCGCCACCTCAATATGTCACAACCCGTGAAGCATTGAACAATGACCACAACCCAGAAAGGATAAGAAATAAAGCAATAAGTGCTCGTCACGAGACCTGATCAGCTTCATCCTGTCCTAGATTATAAACCATGCAAACCAATTATTCAAGCCCAAGTAGAAGAGTGGATTAGTACAAGAGAAAAATAAAACCTTAGGATAGTATAATGAAATCCGCATACTCTTAAGAGTTGCTCCTAGATTCTATTGATTAACTATTTTTCAAAGACATTTATTGGAAGCAAAAAGCTGCTCAAAGCAAGAGTAGTTATCATGTTTGTGGTACCATTCACTCAAAAAATCCATATGGAAACCTCAAGATAAATGTGCTCACAAGTTATTCCCCTTTATTTGCGTAGTTGTGTATGTATGAAGCTCATGTGACTGTAAACTACCAGCAAACAAAAACTTCCCCAGTAAAAGATTATGTCCAAAGTTAAGAAATAAATGGCTCATAATGGCAACCAACATACCAAACAAGCGGATGCATCAAATTGAGGTGCTTTTAAGGAATAAGCAAGATAGGCAAAGAAAGCGACAAGGGTATGGGTTTCACATGACAAGGAAAGCAAATGTGCTAAACAGTGTAGTGTTTACACAAGACTAGGCCATTTTAGTTACCTTTGGCAAATCATATATCCGGCACATCCTCAGGGAGCATTGTTTCCTACAAATGAAGAGGAACATTACCGATAAGTACACATGCCTCACAGACAGCCAGTTTTCAGCTTTGATGAACATTACACTTAGCTTACCTCTTCTCTCTTGGAACATGTTCGCCGATTGTGACCCTCACCCTTACACAGGGTACATTTCTTCTTAGATTTATCTGAAACTGACTTCAACTTTTTCTTCGGGGCCCCTCTGCCAGGCACATGTATGGGATCAAAGACATCTGCAGAATCAACATCCAGGGCTTGCGGCAGCACAGGACCAAACCTCTTGCCTCCGTTCTCTCCTCCATTTGGAGGGATCATAGCAGCTTCCTCATGAAGAACGCGTTTGAGCCGCCCATATGCTTCAAGTGATTGAGATGCTACGAAGGATGCCGTTTGACTGATATTGTGTAGCTCATGGTACCTCTGTAGGCTATCGGAATAGTCATACATGGCGCTCTTCCTTATAGGAGGAAATCCACGCTTGGCCCCCCTCGTCCACCTTTCCAAAACACAGCAGTCTGGAAGCTTGTGTTCTCCTCGACGACCCAATACAAAGAAGATGTGTGAGCATGGGGTTCCAAGGGATTGTAACTTTAGACAAGAACAAGAAATTTCCTTCAGCTTGCGTTCAACAACGCATATCTCACATTTCACATAGTATTGTTTGTCTCCTTTATCAACCTTTCCAACAATATACTCAACAATATCATAGCCATCTACAGTCTCAATCCAATAACACTTGTCGGCTGCTTTTACGCTGTACTGCACATCGGCAAAATAAACACTTGGTGTGAACAAATTCGCAGCCTCTTTCTCAATAGTTGAAGCATCTGGTTGTAAGCATGGCTTAGAACTTGCTTGAAAGTCCAGATACGCTTCATTACTGCGCAACTTTGAAAGACAGTGGTCAACGTGCTGTATCAACTCTAACAGTGTCATTTTCCGATCTAGATTAAACTGAATCCTAGAGTGTAGGCTCTCACTCTGTTGGTTGCTCCTCGGTCCTAAGTAGCACTTACCGATGATATGCCGCACACCGTTTTCCTCATCTCATACATCCGGGTACAACCACGAGTCCTTATCTGTAACTTTCTCCTTTGCCAAGAATGCTATCCATTTCCTCTCAATCTTTTCTATGGAGCAACGATCATCTGAAAAAACCTAACCTTATCCTTCGATCCGGGTGTGAAGATTACGCGCAATGCACACCTCAATATGCCATACGCATAGCCTATGCGATGAATTCGGCCACACAATACTGATTGCTTTCTACATAGCACGGTCTCCATCGGTGATCACAGAAACCGGATGCTTCTGAATCATGGCATCACAGAATGACCTAAGCGACACACATACGACTCAAGATCCTCGTGAGAAAGAATTCCACAGCAAAAAGAACCGTGCTTTTATGGTGATTCACCCCAACAAAAGGAACAAGGGTCGTTGTATCGATTCGTTTTTATACGTGCCATCAAACACGATGACATCACCAAACGCTCTATAATCCATCTGACATTGAAAGTCACACCAGAGCAGTCCCGTCAGGTGCCCTCTCCCATCAGTCTTGTACTGGAAAAAGAAATCAGGATCTCTACGTTTCGATTCTATCATGTAACTGATGATTGTTCGAGCATCACCACCGGAAAGTGTCTCCGCCTTGTTGCGATGGCAGAAATTGTAAAGGTCCCTTGATGTAAATCCAACCTTATCATACCCACCGTACCGCCTAACCATAATATCCATTATCCGGTGTTTGCGGATCCCGTAAATCAGAATCGCACAATCTCGCTTTTCGATCATCGCCGATTCTTCTATGTGAACGCAGAAAGCAAGCAAGGTCTGGTTCCGTCATCGGATGGTTGTGCTCGTCGATGAAATCCTTCACATACCATTGCTCTGTGTTTGGATCCTGTGCAATCACAAGTTGAGCACGGCATCCACAACGAGTGATATTCCGCGCCTCCGCTTCTTGATCTCCTCCTCACCTCCTTCTCTGCTAAGGGAAACCTTCACAAATGCAAACAAACTTCCGAAGGGTCCTCTCATTGTGGCCGTTGTCCCACTCGCAGATTCCTTTCTCACACTAAATCCTTTCTCATAAGCATAGTTGTTATAAAACTCAAATCCATCGTCCTCACCGCCAAACATCTTCATAACAATTTCACCAGTACTCCAAAGAAAGAATCATCATCCGACATTTCCTCCTGAAAAATGAAGCTTTCATTAGGATGCACAGTTTTCATTATTGAAATTCACTTTGCACTTGAAGTTTCAAATTTCAAAGAACTGCCATGTTCTAAAACAAAGAAATATGTTTATATGCCGCCGCAGCCGACGAAGCGAGTCAGGGAAGGCCGCTTGCCGCCGCCAAGGACTCCATTTCGAGGCATCGACGGCTCGGTGCTCCGACCTTCGGCTTATCGGCTCGTCGCCTCCGCCGCCCTCGGTCACTCCGTGGATTATTTTGCTCATGTTGATCGATGCCAGGCCCAGTCCCAACTCCCAAGTGCGAGACTTGCACGTGGCCAATCACCGGTGGGCTAAATTAGCTAGCGGACTTGCATATCTCAGCATATATATCTCTTTTTTTACGGGCAAGGGGGCGGATCCTCTATGACCAATACGTGGCTCCGCTCGTTGACAAACCCGCTTGAGGAGATCAACGAAGCCGCGAATCTGATGTCTACAAGAGTTGTACCTCCTTCACGGATGTCGTCGCCGCCGAAAATCGGAGCTGCCGCCACCACCTCATGAATGCACCATGGTGGAGGAAGTCGTGTAACTGTGGTTTGATCTAGGTGGAATTTTTGTCAAGAATCGATTTGGATGAGAAAGAAAATGAGTGATTTGTCACCGGGGAGAAGAAGAATGTAGTGAGAACTCGTCATTGCGCGACCATGGAGATCGGTGGTGAGAACCGCAGCTTGGGATAAGGTTGATTTTTTATTGTATTATAGTGGACCCCATATATGGTAACGATGTCAACTCATCCATTATTCATTTGAACTTCTATCCAAATTATATGGTACAATAATTAATTTTTTTGTCATAGTTGCTTTCACTCATTCATCAATCAACAAATAATCTATTACCAACCTAGAGGCATATAAGTCATTTTACATTCATGATAGAGAATCTATCGACAACTATCGATTGCCAAACACCTAGATTTTTCGAGATCGCAGATTTATTAGACCGCAGCTTATCGTAAAATTCCGATCGATTAAAACCGACTCTCGAGATAAGCATTCTCAAACAGGCCAAAGCTAACTTCGGATGAATCTTCCGACAAGATTTCATCCTACTAGAATAAGAACATGACATGAAGCACTTAATCAATTAGTCGTAATATACAAATAGCAAATAATCACCATTACATCTACATAAGAACTTTCATGAACTTTAATCACCATGGGTAGCCAACAGCTAACACTAATATTTTAAAAACCAATCAGAATGGCTACTGAGAAACCAAAAGTAACCAGCCAACTTACAACTGGGTCCATCAGTGGGCAATTGGTAGGTGGTAACGCTGCACTCCACTAGTGTAGACATCGGTTTGGATTTTTTTTTCCCAAATAAATGAAACTAGTACACATCCTTATATGTTTCAAGGTCAAGATAAATTTGAAGAATATCAAGATAAAATTGTGACATGACTTGTTCAGTCACCCAAATAGCATCAGTTATACAACCTATTTTATTGGATTAATGTGGCTTGACAAATGATTTTACAGTAATATTTTGGGGCATTTGTCATGCATATGGACTAACATACCTGCTATGCCCAAGGCATGACAAAACTGTATAAAAAATGCAACCAATTGGCTAAGTCAGCAAATGATGTATATTAGTATCATAGTTTTCCTTTCCATTAATGCAAACACATCTACTGCAACACTTTATATGCAATGCAAAAACTAAGTCATATTCAACGTTCTCGCATCCAAATGTTAAAACCATCAATTATTGGTTCAGTTTTTTCGATGCATTGCGGCAATGTAGCACAAAGACTGAAAGACATATTCGAAAGAATATCTTATTACAAGTATAAACATGCCACCAGAAAATGTTAGCATACTAGCAAGTCCAATCAACTCACTCATAAGGAATAGATTTGTGAAGAAGTTAGCAAGACGCACCTCCCAAGCGCATAGCCTTGAGCTTGAGAAGACCATTTCCTTGGGGCCCCGACACCGGAAAGTGCAGGAGACAGAATGCTTCACATGATTCACAGCAATGGAAGCACTGTATCAGGGACCCCGCACAATCGGCTTACCAATGGCATTGACTATCTGCTGGTTGGCCTTCTCTATTGCCCGGTCAAAGACGGGCACCAAAGGAAGTGAGCCATAGCAATTCCTCTTGTGGACAAAGGAAACAAAATCCAACTACGGTGAGCACAATACATGAAGAAAATAGCATCACCCAAAGGGCCAAAGATCGCGACGAGGCTCCGGCGGCGACTAGAGGGAGGGAGAGAGCAGGCAGCCGGTCGCTAGGGTAAGCAGCAGGCAAAGAAGGAAGGCGGCGACGGAGGCGACCACCATGACCCTCGCTACTGGGGTGGGGCGGCATGGCAGTTGGGCCGCCGTCAGACATCAAGCGGCGGAGAGGGGGAGAGAGCAGGCGGCGATCGCTAGGGTAAGAGCAGAGTCAGGCGATGGCGTGCCGGGCGAGAGGGCGAGTCAGCGCGGATCGGGACGACGATTTATCGGGCGGATCGGGAGTGGGCGCGGCTGAGTAGTGATAGGCACGTGAAATGACCAACGTACCATTTTCGATGATAATTAATATTTTATGGAGGCAATGGGAGGCAACGCGAGGCAATTTCAAGTACTGTAAAAGGGCTCATGTTTTTATTATGCTATATAAATCTCAAAAATAGAAAAGAAAATATGTGTAGCACGAATCATCGACGGGATATGATTTGGATAGATAGAAGATCCAAATCACTGTATGCCAGTCCCGTAGAAAAAGTCCAGCGTAAGAATATTTTGTGAACATCTGTTCTAGTTAAGGGCGGATCCGTGTAGAGCACACTCATGTCAATCAAAACACACACAAAAATATGCCAAAAAAAATAAAGAAACAAAAAGTAATTATAACTAATTATTTTTACCATATATGCACCTCATGATATAAATCGAAGTATCCATAAAAGCAAGCGTGCTTTTTTGAATTTGCTCTAGCTCTGTTCTAATCGTATGGCTCAAATTTTTTGAGACCGAAGATACATGCGTAGTAAAAAAAGAATGCAAACATCTCCTTTTGCATTTATCATGTCCTGATATGCAAGAAAATAGCATCTTGGTTTCACTGGGCCTGTTTGATGCACTAGCTAAACCTTAACGGGCTAAATTTAGCTGTTAGGCTTCCAAACAGCATAGCTAAAAGATCAGCTAAAGTTTAGCTAGGTTTATCTATTTCAACCCAGCTAAAATTTAGCTGAGTCTATTAGTTGGAGCATCCAAACACCCCAGTTAAAGTTTAGCTGAGAATTTTTTAGCTCGCTAAAATTTTACTTTAAAATTTTAGCTAGCTAAATTTTAGTTGGGTGCATCCAAACATGCCCTAAAAGGGCAGGCAAAGTTAAAGATAATAGTCATGATCATGATGTTTACTCCGTATTCACTAGCGGCGATATTCATTGATTTTCTACCATAGCTTGGAACTAATCTTCTCCACTTCAAAATAGCAACTGTCCTAGTTGAGAGTATAGAGGTAAGTTGTAACATGGAACCATCACAGAACTATATTATCTTTTATTTTCTCTTTCCACTGCAAATATAATAGACATGTCTGAAACTCTCTCTCTTCTTTTTAAAAAATACCTAAGTAACATTTTTCTTATATAGTTGTTTGCCATTACCATACCAGTGCCCCCGTATACTTATGCGCGCATCTTTGGGTTAGGAACACGCTTGATTTTTAGAACCATTCAACCACACCTACGAAGTGTTTGGTTCAATAATTTTGAGACGTCATCTGTTCACAACATAATCTGAATCATTTAAATTTGTTTGGTTCACTTGTGCATAATCAAGTCCCTGACCAGTGCAAAATCTGAATCCGTTAAATTTGTCTGGTTCACTTTGGGCATAATCAAGTCCCCTGGATCGGGTCTCAGGCCAGTGCAAATTCAGCGTTATCGTCGGGCAGTACACGTACCTAACTGTGGAACCGAACAAAATGGAAAACTGAATATCCTGTAATCATTCCCCCTGGATCTCATACCATTTATATTTGCAGTATCATTTCTAAATCAAACATCATCCAAATTCATGGGATTAGCCATTCACAAATGTTGCTAAAAAAAAGTCATTCACAAATGCCACAGCATATCCAAAGCAAACTGCTGTCCAGAATGTTACATCACAATTCAAATTGCACCAGTCACCCAAGACTGGCAGTGATGACTGATGAACATCACAAGTGCACATTCAACTTCCCACGTTATTTGGTTTCAAGATTTTTTATTCAGCATACAATAAGATCTTTTCTCATTCCTATGATCGCCTCCCATTTAAATTCTCCATACCTGGCACAACTCACCATTTGATTTATTGCCTTATTGTTCTGGTTTCTTGATCATATCAATGGATTCCTATTGACATCTTTGTACAGCAAGTATCTCGTCCTTGTCTTACCAAGGGCAGCATACCTGGAACATTACGTTTACGACAAAAGGGACAGGGGTGAGCTAGCTAGAAAAAAGACAAGCAGTAGATGTCAAACACGAAGGTGGCATACACTTACCACTGAGGAACAAACGGTGCCATCCAAATGGTATCCCCTGCTTGCACGGGATACCTGCGTAATCAATAGAAGTGGTCTTCAAAATTTATTGGGGTTAAGTATAATATGTAAACAAAAGTTGAATTGAAAACTTCAAATGGGGGAAAAAAAGGAACACATGCAGTTTGTGCATATAATTCGTAAATCTTAGCAAAGCATACACTAAAAAGCGTAAAGGGCAACAGAGGGATGGAGGAGGACAAAAGAAAAAAAATATCCATACACATAATTTTGCATATGAAACACACATCATATGTTTAATGAGATAAATGGGTAGTTAATCTCTGTAGCTCATGTCTTCTAGAAGTTATACCACAGCGAAGCAAATAATCTTATATGAAATATTTAAGTTTCTATACAAAACATAGGCTGCTATTCCAAGGTTGCACAAGGTTAAAAAGCTTAACACGAAGAAAACAACACTAAAACAAAAGGAGGATTTTTAATTTGCTTCCTTACCAACTCTCCCCCAGTCGGTATATTCCTTGCCCCTCTAAAAGAAGAAGTCCATGTTGATTATAATGAACCTCCTGGTAGAAATAAACCCCAAAAAAAAGGAAGCTTAAGGACCAGATGTACGGACAGTGCCACAACATCACATGGTTCATGCAGCAAGACTAGTAGTCAATTATTGCCCAAACACCTCAAATTCTACAAACCTTTACATTGAGATATTCGCCTGGTTGAAAGTCCATTATCTGCATGTGAGAGAAGGGATATTAGACAATGCTCATCATATGACATAAAAGAAAAAGGCAACAAACAACTTTCAGGTCCTTTCAAATAATGTCTCTAACTCAGTATCAGCACTACCCAACTATCGGGTGCATTACAAACAATATTTTTGTTAAACACCACTCTCGCACAGGGAAATCTTCTTATCTTGTTTACAGATGAAATTAACTAATTAAGTGAGTAATTTATATGCAGCTAAGAAAGAGCTGAACGATGCTTGGGTTTAGGGTTTAGGGTTTCGGGTTTAGGGTAGTGTAATAATGTGGGATACATTGAGTAAAATAATGATCCTAAAGTGACCAAACTTACATGGATATTAAAGTCATAGGACAGAGAAGTTGGCAGCAGCTTCCTCAGTTGAAATACCTATTAAAGAAACAAGATACAACAAATTACGTCAGCACTGAGGATCTGAGATAATGACAGATAAAAGAACTAGCATGATTCATGAAGTTTCAAGTCCAAAAAGGACGACCAAAATGAGACAAGATTGTAAGCTGTCAGTGAAAGCCATAAATAAGTTTGAACATCCTGGTTCTAAAAAGAAAAGGAAACAAATTTTATTACGCCACTTGATGTTCATGGTATGAAAAACAGGCCTTCTAAATGCTAGGAAGTCCAAGTATTTTAGGTGCACAGAGATTGTAGATAGATGATGATCCACAGATATAAGGCCAATTGTACCTCTCCCAGGGTTTCAAGAAGGGGTTGCTTATCTGTTGAACCGACAATTAGATCAGGATGGGAATCCTCGATGGCACTGTACCTGATAAGGGAATAGAATTGAGAAAGGTCTTCAGTGTAATTAATTTTATTAAAAAATGAAAAAAGAACTTGAAGCGCTAACTGAAAAGTTTTTGCATCTGAGTTGAACAAATAATATCCATAACCAAAGAGAAGAAGAACAGCCAGCATATGCTTTAGATTTGGTTTTCCTAAAGTTCAATCATTTCTATAAGCAAACTTAATCCAAATCTTGAAGATTTTAGTACACCTTTTTTTCTCGAACGACGCAGGAAAGCTGCATGTCATTTCATTAAGAAAAAAGAACAAGGGAGAGGCAAAGCCTGCTCCTACCAGCCCAACACAGTTACATTCGCACCACTACCTAGATTATAATGACCATGACCTCACACCAGTCTAAGCGTCCAACACAAGTGACCAAGGCAGCAATTGATGAAGTACATAGACAGATGAACAACAGGATTGCAGCAGTTATGTAAACAGAAGTGGTAACAAGCAATCAAATTTCTATAGTACTACATCAGTAAAACTGTAGCATCTCCATGAAATTATTGTACCTCCTCTCAAATATTACAACAGTGGTTGGTTCATCTGAGATCATAGAATGTTTTGTGTTTGCAGGAAGATATGCATAGGAATCCACCTGCACTTGTTTAGTAAGCCACATCAGTGCAGAATCAGCAGAACTTATGCAAAGTGGGTGGGTATACAAGGAACAAGTTCCAAAAATAATCAATATCATGAAAATATTTAAAGCACGAGAATACAAATTTATGAAAGCTACTGAATTTGAATATTTACAATCTCTCATAGATATCTCTTAAAAAAACTGATAGACCGCATCAGCCTTGGATTTTCGCATCTGAAACATATGGAGGATTAATTACATGATTTTGTAAGTTATGGCATATGCTATGACAAAAAAAGACAAACAAGGAGTAGAAAGTTTCAGTTACTTATATAATTGTATATCAACTGAGGACATCATTGGATACTCTTCCTCGGTAACATATTTAATGGTCATAAACATTCAAGTAACATTTTCCAGATACAGAAGCTACAAGCAAAAAAAAAACGTGGACTAAAGCTGAACGGGTTCGCCCTTGGAACATAATGCTGCACTAAAAGTTATGCATAAATAAACCAAAAGCTATGCCCTTACGAATCCATCATGTAATGGAAGTAGTTGTTATGATCGGTAAAGTCTACAAGCGCCGCAACAAGTCTAGTGGCTGAGCGGCGAACCAGGGCGGGCGCGCGACGCTAGTGCGCGGTCACCAGCTCTGCGGCGTCGCTGCAGTTATCAGGATCGAATTCATTAGGAGATTGTTTCATGTGATTTGTATCCCTTTAATTCAGGAACAGTTGTTAGGCATTTGTTATAAGTAGGGAACACTTTTGTTAATGAAAGATCAGCCAGAGATTTAGAGTTCATCTCTCTTGCTCCTGGCGCTCTAGCGCTCTCGCCCTCGCGACAACCCTAAGCCCTCGGCGCCGAGCACGGCGCCGCCAGCTCGCCGTCGGCCGTTCAAGCCTAGGCCCTCCACCTCACACTCATACTCCTTACGCAGTAATCCACGTTCCAACAGTAGTGCTCTTTCTTTTTTGAAAGCAGAAGTAGTACTCTTTCAAACCCCAATGCTTAGAGTTGTGTGTATGAGAGTTCAGTGTATAGATATGAGAATTACTTTGATTAAAGATTTAGAAAGAAGAAAAAAGGCAAGCACTCTGATAAAGCCTTACCAGCAGAGAATGGGTAGTCCCAGTCCCCACTGTCAATGAAATGCTCCCTTGTAGTACAAAAACGAGCCTGGAAAGTTGTTTACCAGAAGGGCAGCGGAAACCTCATTAAAAAAAGGGAATGGTGACAATTCCAAGCCAAACTAGAGCTGGGTACTGCCAGAATGAAACATTTAACTTGGTGTGTATAGCACTTGTTTCTTGGAGTGATCCATTTCTTGCACTATTAAAAATGGTAGTAGTTACACGTATGCATTATTGTTATTCTAACTAGTGTTGGTTAAGGGACCAACCTTTCAACATCTTTCGGTGGTAGGGCTGATTTTGAACCATCTGCACCCGATAAACAATAATCATTTCAGTAATAATTAAAAATAACATGTACTAATGTAAAGAATAGAACCACATCAGATTATAGCTTTTAATTGTTAGTTATGCTTGACCTCACTGTGGAATGTGATAGTACTATATCTAGATGCGCAACAGCTGCCCACATCCAAAAGCAAGTTTTAACTTATTCCTAGCCACTTCAATGATATGGTAGCTTAGGAGTAGGAAATCGTATCTGAGCGCAATGGAAACTTGTTGAATAATAATGAGATCAAATCATATCGCAATTATGTGCATGACCACGGACTAAAATATGACTGTTACTGGGTCTTGCCATATAAGTTTCCAAAAAGGAACATATAAGAAAGCATATGCAAATATAAACTGTTCATATTTCTAGTTTTGCAAATGGGACAAACAGCATACCTTGCATGTTTGCCAGATACATAGTGAAGTGTGCACCAATAGCTGGACTGATCAAATATGCTCCTAAGGTATTGATCCTAAACAGAGGGTAAATTGTTAAATTCTTGATGTTAGCATAGCTTTAGAAAGTGAATAGAAACCGTAAGTGGAAGGAAGTCATACCAATCAGGCAAAGGACCGAATACATGACTCTCTGGTGTTATTAAAGCATGATCCCTTTTCAAAACACTACGTGTGAAGCCAGGTAAATCTAGAGTTCCAAAAAAAGGATCATCATTAGATGGAATAAATTAGGAGCATCGGTATTTGTGGAAACATCAAGACTTAGCTTATAACAGATAAACAAGGAAGCACAAAAGTAGATAAGCATATAAGTTTTCGTTCTAGGAATGCAGATCAGAGCATTATCAAGAAAAGATATCTGCTTATTCTGAATGCTTAGCAGGAGACAGGTAAGGTCAAATATTTTCATATCACTAATTAATCTATCTATAACAGTGGAGCATTATTCTGAATGCTGGCACTGGCGGATCCAGCAACCCTGGCCACCTGCCTCCTCGGCATTCAAGTTGACTAGGCCTCATTAAGTCTAACCCTCTTCTTAGCCCATTAAATTGCCTGGGCTCCTAAGAGCCCTTGGGCTCACCATTTTCCACCCGCTCAGCTCCTAGGCTTTCCAGATTCGAGAAGTAAATTTCTCATGTAGACACTAGAATATCTCAGCCAATTCATTTCATCTCCACGAAAAAAAAAACTCTAAAAGCATGTAGCATAAGACCACCGATTGGATGCCAGTGACACCCGTGTTATTACCATATAAACTAGGATGTGATATAAGTCCATAAAACACAAGGTTTATTGCAAGGCTGCAGCTATGAATGACCAATAAACCTTGGATTTCGAATTATGAAGCTCACTCCAAGCTCCACATAGAGCAAATATACACACCACCGGACACTCCAAAAACGAGCGACTCAAGGCTGGTCCTCGATTACGCACCTTGGAGGTGCGTGGGCGCGAGGGTAGGATGGGTGACCTTCCAGTAGAGCGGCTGGCCCCCGGAGCACTCGCTCGACGGCTCCGCCGAGCAGAACCCCTCGGCGCCACCTCCGTATCCAGCCGCCGCCGCCGCCGCCGCCGCCGCCGCTCCTGAAACAGGATCAAGTGACAGACCGCGAAGCGAGTGAGGCAAGAGCGAAGACTGAGACTGCGGAGTACGGACGCTACAGTGGCGGCGGAGAGCCCTGTGGATGCGGGTTAGGGTTTTGGCACCATTACCGCATCGTAGCGACGCCAAGAGGACGAAGAGGAAGAGGGGGCGGAGGTGGTGGATGCTCGTCATTTTGTGCGGAGGAATTGGGATGTTTTTGGGAGGCAGCGGAGTCGGAGATGGCTGGAAGCCTGGAAGGAAGGAACGCACAAGGGGTTGTGCGGTGTGAGTGTGAGGTCACAAGATGAGCGCACTGCGCACTCGTGGACAGTGGTTTGGTGGTGGGCCACAGGGTGACTTGGACGACATCTATCGTCCTTTTAACCATTTTTCTGGATTTCTTTTTGTAAAGATGGTTGTGATCTTTTTTATAAAAAAGAAAATATGTCTAACCAGTATTTTAGATTTTTCATTTCAACGATCCTGATGATAGTGATATACTGGTCCTTATGTCTTATTCTTGATTACCGTGGTTTCACCGAAATATAATACTTTACCTTATCAGCCACACACTCAACACGGGATTACATTTAATGACTGATGACTAACGATCCACCACCAGAATGTATGGCATATTTGATTGGCTACTGGGACTAGTTACTAATTCAGGGCCGCGTTTAGTTCCGGCCGGATTCGGCGCCGCCGGAAACCCAGGACACTGTAGCATTTGGTGATAATTGTCCAATCGTTGATTAATTAGACTCAAAACGTTCGTCTCGCAAAGTACAACCAAACTGTGCAATTAGTTTTTGATTTCGTCGACATTTAGTACTCCATGCATGTACCGCAAGTTTGATGTGACGGGGAATCTTCTTTTTGCATAGTGTCAAATTCAGGAATTTGGAGAACTAAACATGGCCCAATTAAAGTTTAGCTAACTAGTTTCGTCTTGCGATATTTGAATCAACAACAACAACAACAAAGCCTCTAAGGACATCCATTGTTCAAATTGGCTGATTCACCTGATAGGTTCATAGACACCTATTGTTCAAATTGGTTGATTCACCTGATGGGTTCATGGATACCTACTGTTCACATTGGCTAATTCACCTGATGGCTGTTAATTAGGGCACGGACTAAAAATTAGTCCACCTATTAGTCTGCATATTTATGTGAATGCTACTCCCTCCGTTTTAAATTATAAGACGTTTTAGTTTTTCTAAATTCATAGCTTTTGCTACGCACCTAAATATAAATTATGTTTAGATACATAGTAAAAACAATGTATCTAGAAATGTCAAAATATCTTATAATTCGAAATAGAGAGAGTAATTGTTAGTATCCAAAGTTCCAACATACATAGAACTCATAATTAATGGATCGCAAGACCTTGACGTGCATCAAGAATAACTGCTTTGGATTAAAAAAAAAGTAGGAACAATCACAAATCTGCAGGTAGGAAGTCAACAGCAAGATCAGCAGTTCAGCACAATTGAGAGTACACTACACTGCAGCTCAATGTTTTTTTTTTTTTTTGGAGCGGAATTGGGAGATCAGTTGCATTACAGGCACAGCTATTGTTTCAAAAAAAATTACAGGTACAGCTAAACTGCTGGCCACCAAAAAACGGTTACAAAAAAACAAGTAATTGATCCAGCCATAGTTGCGCATAATCCCTACTTAGGCTACAACTGTATTTTGGTAAGGCGTCAACAATTGAATTGCATTCGCAGAGACAATGGATGACCCTGGTTTCTGTGCAGTTTCATCGACAGCAGACTGCAAGCTTATATCGCCAATACAACCGAATGGAAAATGACCAAAAGTGGGCCTTGTTAGTGCAGTCACCAAATTCAGAGCGTCAGACTCAAGGATAATCCATGTCATACAACACTCGTTTGCCTGACGGTGAGCAGCCATAGCTGCCCTCCACTTTTGCATGCATCCCTCACCCTTTGAAACTTTCCAGCAACCACTGCTTTAATCTCTCCCACATCATCACGAACCATGAATCCCCATCCACCCGGCCATACTAGCTTCAGAGAAGGAACCATCTATACTGATTTACATATAGGTTGTGTTTGGTTGTGTTTCTCTGGTTAGCCAGGCTAGAAAAATAGCCCAGGCTATCTTAAGCCTGTCTATGTCAATGCAATCTAGTGGTGTTCGGTTGTCATGTGCTAGCTAAGCCTGGATTGACTAGTTCTTGTTTGGTTGCCTGGATTACTCGGTCCTGTTACCTCTTCTTTGCCACGGTGATCTTACCTCCAGTCACCTTCGTCGTCTCCGTTCGTCATCATCGCCATAGCCCCATGACTGCAACTACAAACACCAGATAACAAATCGGGTTGCATCTCCATGGTACAGACGAATGCAGCAACAAGTTCCATTGATTTTTGGGTGCAGAGCAATAGTAGAAAAAATGCAAAAACAAGAACCAATGGGAAGAAGTAAATCCGCACGGAAAATCAATCCATCAGAACAACAGCAGAACAAGCTAAATGATATTAAACAGCCCATAATACATGGCGACCCGGTTCTTCTTTCATCCGTGCACAAAATCCAACATCAGAACAAGCTAGATCCAAACATGAGAGAGGTGTAAAATCTAACGCTACTGAGAACGAAGGACATGAGGACGGAGAAGAAGAATATGGGGCAGCCGGGCAGTAATCTGCATCAAGTGCGCCGCCGCGGACTCCATCTTCTTACCCAGCGCCGCGGATTCCATCTTCTTCCCCGGCGACATGGAGGCAGCAGCGAGCTCGACCACAAGGCGCCCGTCTTGCCGACGCAGCCGCATCTGCAGGCACAATCCACCGGCGTCGGGGACAGCAAGGCGGCGCTTGCGGCAGGGGAGGGCTCACGCCGGAGATGCGAAGACTGTCACCGAAGATGCGGGGACCGCCACCAGAGGCATCGCGGCTCGGTGCGAGAGGGAGGTGACGGGATTTATGTGGGAAGGCACTGACAGCTAGCACAAGCCTGGCTTGGTGAAAACGGTCGCCCCTCTCGCTTCCAGGAAGCCTGGCCAAGGGGTACCTCTTGCACTACACAAGCCTGGCTTCAGTGAAGAAACAGCCAACCAAACGTACAGAGGGTGCACTAGGGAAGCCTGGTTGGGGGCTAAGCCACCCAACCAATCACTCCCATATTGGCTTGGTGGAGGCTTCCAGTCACAATCTGGTTAGACCATCCAACTACAGAGTGGTCAGAAAAGTAAGTACAATTGTAGGCAACCACTGCTTTGGTGCAACTAGGATCAAGATAGGAAGGAGGACTGACACTCCTAGCAAACCAGGCTAAATACCCCGAGTGACTCTGACATACGACACCCTCTGTTGCGCTGACAGGTAAAGTGGATAGAGCAACAAAGTCACGCTTGAAGCGCGCACAACACACAATCATCAAAGATGCAAAGCCCATTCACCTGCGAATCCATTTGATAAAATCACTGGAGTCCCACAAGATAAGCGCAGGGGGATAGCCCCTGAAGGGGTGCGGAGAGAGAGAGACTGCGTGAGCCTGGGTAGCAGGTGGTCCAAGTGGCTATGAAGAGGTGGATAGCTACTAGTTGGTGAGGGATCACCATAAGGTGTAGAGGTGACAGTGCGATAAGCACCTTGGCCAGGAGCAGTAGCAGGACTTCAAATAACAACTCTAGGCCAGACACAGTTGTGGACTGTGGTGCTGTTGCTGTGAGAAGCTTCACCTCCCTCTGTACGGCGCATGACGAGGGACAGATTCAGTAATTACATAATGACTGCCTACAAGGAGTCAAATTGAGATCTGGGGTCAGTATTTTACTTAGATGTGTAACAGATAAGGACATGCGATGAGAAGTTTGTGGGGTTCTATAAGGTAAAAAGATGGGGGATTGAAGACAACCAGTTTACCTGAAAGCTGAGCTTGCCCAGTGCTCTCATCTAGCCATCTGACCCTTATTTAGCAACACCACGACTGAGAACCCTCTCACAAGGTTGTTGGCAAAGAGAAGGATTTACTTGGGGATAGATGCTGCTTGTCCTGTGCTTTCCATTGTGCTGTCTGCAGGAAGAACATATGATCCTTCCATATCAACAACATATCATGTAAACTACATGATGACAGAATTTCTAATATGTCTGTTCAAATAAGTCACTCTAGAACAACATTAGCCAGCACTACATGGTTTCTGTTAAACATCAGGAATATGGCATGCGGACCACCACATAAAGCCACACTTTTGAACCTTATCACTAGAGAGATTTAACTTTGACATAATATGATGCATACTTGATTGGACTTATTCTACCACTATGCCAGTGGAATATGCTTATCAGAGGTTAGCTCATAAGTTTGGCCGCAATGGTGCCTCCATTTTCGATTACACGATAGCTCAAGTTTAGCTCTCTCAGCTATTGCTACTTTGCTAGAGACTGGAATCAATTCCAACTATAAAAGTTTTGCAGTTAAGTACTGATCTACTAATTCTCAATTTGTTCTCAGGATTTTGTTAAGAGGCAAACAAGACAACCACAATACAGTGAGTTACTGAGCTTTAACAAGCATATACCAAACAACAAGTTAACACAAAATACTACAACATTTTCAAGCAAATTGAAAAGTCTCTAGCTGGGCACCTGGACCTGGACCTTATAAACTCCAGGGATCATTCATATATCACCATTCTGAACTGAGTTTTTTTAAGAAGAATATCTCTGCTTTTATGAAAAGCAAATGTTTACAGAGTTCGACAAATTGGAGACACCAGTTCACCAAACAAAAGCACAAAAGAAATCTATTAAAAGACACTATCCTATTGCATATCAAGCAGTCATATTTCTTCAACATCCATCGCCAGGATAGTGCTAGGAGCGAACTCCTTCATCCAATTCAGAATTTGTTGCACCACTGTGGAATGAGTTGGTAGCAATAACCTGGCCACGACTGCAGTATCTATGTTGTTGTGATCCATGCCATTGGGAGGAAAAGTGAAATAGGTTATTGGCAGCAGTTATAGACTTATAGCTTTACTGGGGTCCTTTGGCTAATGAATCTGCAATTGGGGCAGTTGGAAAAGATAGAGAAGTGAACCTGAAAGGACATATGATATTGAGAATTATCTTTCAACAACAACAACAACAACAACATAGCCTTTCAGTCCCAAGCAAGTTGGGGTAGGCTAGAGTTGAAACCCACCAAGAGCCCCAAGTCACGGTTTAGGTACTTCAATAGCTGCTTTCCAAGTACTCTTATTCAAACATAGATCTCTAGGTATATCCCAAGCATTCAAATCTCTTTTTATTGCCTCCCCTATATCAATTTCGGTCTTCCTCTACCTCTCCTCATATTATCTTTCAACTATTACAGAATTTACTAGCTTTTCTAAGATATCCTACATGGACCAGAACTAAGTGTTGTAACATTTAGGTATTGTCTAATATAGCATTTGGCACCAGACTTATATTGTTTAAGTGATTGTTATTTGTTCATCATCTATGAATCACATTTTATAGGTATAAATATTCATGCCAACCACACAACTACAACAGACACTTACATTAGATGAATGTGACTGGGACTGGGTAGAATATGGAACTAATGACAGCTCTAACGTGATGTTTCCACACCAGTTGTTAGCGTCGATTTGAAGCAAACAAGCTTTACACACCTCTCACCTAGAGAACAAGTTAGCACCAATTCGGATGATTTGAAGTTTCAAGTTTCAAGACTAGACGTCAAATTTTCTGAGATAAATGGTTATAACATGCCATGCAGAACAAAGAACAAAAACTACACAAATAAACAAATTCAAGAGAACAAATGGCTGGTTTTTAAACTAAGAAACTTAATCAAAGGAAGAGGAGTGGTGTAAAGATAGTTAGGTGATTTACCAGAGTTCTCAACTGCAATAAGCTGAGGTTGAAATCCATGCATCACTGTGTAATATCCAAGCCAAATATCAGATCTTAAGTGCCCATCACCGCCATTTCCTTCCTCAACTTCACCATCTCATAGTTTTTAGACTTCTCATAGACACTACTAAATGCATGGTACACCTCGCTGCCAGCATTGAATCCTTTTCCAGCCATCTCTGCTTGGAGTCTGATTGCCACCTCTACCTCCCCTTCATCACAAAACCCCCTAATCAACACCTCGTAACTCCTCCGAGTCGGCACAAACTCTTCCCTCTTCATTTCCTCTCGCAAAACACCCAAGCCATCCTCAACCCTCCCGTTTTGACATAATTCATCCAACAATTCCTCAATAGCCTATGGCGCCAACCCAAACCCCCTCCTTTTTATGTCTGCACGCACAAACATTGCTGCCTCGGCATCCTGCGCCACACAGTGCCCTCTAACCAACCATTCGAACATCGTGGCACTTGGATCAATCCCACCCATCAACATATTTTTAAACATCTCCTTGTTAGTTGATCTCCACCAACGGCCTATTGGGCCCTTGGATCTACGCCCTGATCGGGGGCGCCCAACCCTAATATGGTTGGTGGGCCCCTGTCGCACAGCATTATAAATAGAGAGGTGGGGATCAGGGCTCGGATGACGAAGTTGACCGAAGCCGCCGTAACCACCTATAGAAAACCTAATCCGATCTAAAGAAGAGTGCTGCCAGCGATGGGAAGCCCACCGACTCCGCCGTCGCCTCTACATCGCCACTGGACATCGTCTCCACCACACTGGACACCACCGTGCCGAGCTCCCTCGACACCGGTGTCCACGAGGCTGCGGCGCAACTACGCCAGGGCGAACTAGAGGAACCCTAAGTAAGATGTTTAAACCCCGATCTACTTTATAGTGGTACAATATGATTTAACAATGGTACCAGAGCCAAGGTTGCCACTGTGTAGATCTAGTATGGGGTAAGGCATGGAAAAGAAATCAAAGAAAGAACAAGGGTTCGATCCGTTTCAGATTAAAACCCTAACCCTAACCGGGTAAAAGAAAACAGAAAAGAGACCGGGGGTTAGCGGACGTCACTGAACTCCCGGTCACCACCGCCACCGTGCGGGGGAAAGATGCTGCACCACCGTCTTCGCCGGCGCGCGGCAAGAAAAGAACATCAGTGTTCGGATCTGAGAAGAGAATAGAAAGGGGTCTCGACACTCCGAGTCAAACCCTAACCCTAACCCCAAACCCAAATCGGTCAACTCTGAAAGAAAAGAAAGAAGATCCAAAGAGAAGAAAGGGAAGAGGGGAAGGGGCTTATCTCGAAGATCTTGAACAAAACCGAGAGAAAAACCAAATCGGGTTCAACCGAACCCTAACTCGCGACGAGGAAGGGGAAGAGAGCGATTCAGTACAAATAGAAAAGAAAAGAAACCAAATAAAAAAGATGAATCGAATCAATCGAAACAAATCGGGTTAATCCTAACCCTAACGATTCCCTTACCCTAACCCTAACTAGGTGAAAGAAAGAAGAAAAGAGAGGGATTCGACCTAGAAGAGAAACAAAGCCGAACCCTAAACCCGTGAAGTCCCTCTGGGAAAGAAGAACAGTGCCCATCCCGTAACCCTAACCCTAATTTTTGACCCCATCCCCAAATCGGGTTAATCCCAGAAGAAAGAAGGGAAAGGGAGAAGAGGACGAGCCGTTTTGGCTTACCTCGCCGCTGCGCAGTGCTGCTGCCTCACCGGCGCGCGAGGAGAAGAAAGGGTCGAGCCAGGGAGCTGCTCACCGGGCTCGGCCAAGGGGGCGCCGCGGCCAGGCCGCTCGATGGTGGTGCGCTCACCCGTCGGGGAGCGCGCACGCCGGCGAGGGGGCCGGCGACGGCGCCATGGCTGCTCGCTCCACTGCTTCGCTCGCTCGGTACCTCACTGCGGTTGAGAAAGAAAGGAAGAGGAGAGCGACGAAGAGAGGAAGGGAGGTGCCGATTGAGATAGGGTTTTTCGGGAAAGACCGGTGTCCGCGGTTTTGTTCGGGCGAGACGGCCGGGTGACCGTTGGATGCGATCCGACGGTGGAGCGCAACTAGGCCAGTTTCGGCCCAGGCGGGCGCGGGCGCGAGGCCACTTTCCCCACCCAGGCCCAGGTTGCGGCCTGGGCGCGGGGGAGAGCGCGGGATAGCGCGCGTGGGCCATGGGCCGCTTTGTCGGTTGGGCCGAAGACAGTAACGGAAATGAATCAGTTTTCCTTTTTTTCTTTTTCCAGTAAATATTTATTTCCTAGAAATTGATTAATGGCTTAAAGAAAATAGAAAAGAGATTTGTCCTGTGGGCAAAAAAAATCATTAAATTGAATTATTTTTCCGCAACGAATTTGAAGATGTTATTTTCATTATTAAATTCGAACCAATGGGAGAATTTATTTGAAAATGGATATGCTTTTAATTGATTATAATATTGTTATTATTCTAACTAACGTTGATTAATGGCAATATTATGATGTTATTTACGATGAGATTTTGATATGGCTGCTAAAGAAATTGTTAATTCTCCAGTTATTTTGAACCAACGTGATATTTAATTGGAGAAAAAGAGATTTTGACATGATTATGATGTTGTTATTTTCTGACTAACGTTGTTAATAACAATATCGTAATATTAATGATTTATGCATTAATTCTATTTATGTCCAACGGTGATATAGAATTAGTGTATAAGAATAGTTGTATGTCTTAATTTTGACCAACGTTGGAATCAAGGCATGCAATTGTTGTTATTTTTATATTAAGAAAAAATTTGACTTGACCTTCATCTTGGCTGAGGTGGACTGGATAGTCACCTCACTGTGTCCCACTGATCCTATGGCACCGGTGAGGAAGACAAACGAGACTGATGCCACTTGGGCAACTAAAGAGAGGGATTTTTAATTCCAAAAGATGTCCTATGACCTTGAGTATAGGAAGTGGGTCACTACCAACAAGAAATGTTTGGCTGTGATAAAGAACACGATTGAACCTACAATTGTGGGCTCAATCCCAGAGTGTGACACGGTCATCGAGTACCTTGATAGAATAAAGAGTGAGTTCATTGGCTCTTCAAAGACATATGATACTCAGCTGATAAAGCAGTTGGTCACAGAGAGTTACTCTAGAAATAGTGGCATAAGAAAGCTCACGATGCGTCGTCGAAATTATGGCACTGACGTTTAGGTCATATTTCGAGGGGGAGAATAGAAAGATTAGTTAAGAATAATATTCTTCCTCCATTAGAGCTCTCAGATTTAGAACAATGTAGAGAATGCATAAAAGGAAAGTAGGTAAAGAAAATTAAGAAAGATGCCAAACGAAGCGTAGAAATTTTACAGATTATTCACACAGACATCTGTGGTCCGTTTTCTGTAAAGAATGTGGATGGTTATAATTCATTCATAACATTCACTGATGATTACTCCCATGATGGATGTATTTATCCAATCAAAGAAAGAACAGAAGCATTGGATAGATTTAAGATATTTAAGGTAGAAATTGAAAACCAACTTAATTTAAAGATTAAGAAGTCTGGTCTGACCATGGGGGGAGTACTACGGTCGGCATACCCCATATGGCCAAGTTTCTAGACCTTTTGTAAGGTTCTTACAGGAGAATGGCATAGTAGCCCAGTATTCTACACCGGACGAACCTTAGCAGAATGGAGTAGCTGAAAGACACAATCGTACCCTAATAGATATGGTGCGCAGTATGATAAGTTACCCCACCTTACCGTTGAGCCTGTGGATGGAGGCGTTAAAAACCATCATTCATATTCTCAATAGAGTACTAAGTAAGTCGGTGCCAAAACACCGTATGAATTGTGGACAGGAAGAGTACCCTCACTAAACCACTTACGTGTGTGAGAGAGTACTGCTGAGGCTAAAGTAATTAACCCAAACATTGGGAAGCTAGATCCCAAAACAGTAAGTTGCCATTTCATTGGCTACCCAAAAAATTCAAAAGGTTTTCGTTTCTACTGTATAGACATACATACAAAGTTTGTAGGAATGAGACACGTTGTCTTCCTAGAGGATGAAATGATGAGGGGAGCATGGTAGCTCGAGAAATTGACCTTGAAGAGAAGCGGGTGTATGCGCCCACTCCGATGATTCATGAGCAATTTTTCTCACTACCTGCTGTTGCTGCACCGACAGTGCAAGATACTATGGTGCCAGCACCTGTTGTTATTTCGCTTGTGGCAACAATGAATGACGATAAGGAACCTGTTCTTCAGGATCCTATAGAACCTATTGCCACACATGAGGGGGAGCAACAACAGCCTCAAACAGAAGATGTGCCAAATGTGGAGGCCCCTATAAGGTCTCAAAGAGTTAGAAAATCAGTTATTCCTGCTGACTATGAAGTATACAACACTGAGAAAATTTCAAATGGAGGAAGATCCCACCTCATTTGAAGAAGCCATGAGAAGTGATTATTCATCAAAGTGGCTTGAGGTCGTGGAAGATGAAATGAAATCTATGAATGCCAATAAAGTTTGGGACTTGAAAATAATTCCTAAATGAGCCAAAACAGTAGGCTGTAAATGGGTCTACAAAACGAAACTTGACTCTCAAGGGAATATAGAGAGATATGAAGCGCGACTTGTGGCAAAAGGCTTTACGCAAAGAGAAGGAATTGATTACAATGAGACATTTTCTCCAGTCTCATGTAAGGAGTCCTTCAGAATCATAATGGCATTAGTGGCACATTACGATTTAGAATTGCATTAGATGGATGTAAAGACGGTATTTCTCAACGGGGACTTGGAGGAAAATGTTTACATGGCACAACCAAAAGGTTTTGTAATGGAAGGAAAAGAACGAATGTGATGCCGCCTAAAGAAACCCATTTATGGATTAAAACAAGCTTCAAGACAGTGGTACTTGAAGTTTGATCAGACAATAAGGAATTTTGGGTTTAAAGAGAATGTAGAGGACAATTGTGCCTATGCAAAGTTTAAGAATGGGAAGTTTATCTTTCTTGTCCTGTATGTGGATGATATCTTACTTGCTAGTAGTGATGTCAGTCTACTACTGGAGACAAAGAAGTTTTTGTCCTCAAAATTTGATATGAAAGATCTTGGTGAAGCTTCATTCATTCTAGGGATTGAGATTCACCAAGATAGAAGTAAAGGAGATTTTCATAGAAAGGTGAAGCTTCACAAAATGCATACATAGAAATAATTTGAAAGAAATTCAGTATGCACAAATATAGTCCCTCACCTACTCCTATTGTCAAGGGCGACAGATATGGGGATTTTCAATGC